CAGCCTTCCCGTAGACCGCCAGGGTCAGGCCCAGCCTTCCCCCCGTTGACAGACCACCTCCAGCAACGCTCACAGTATTTGTCTCTTGGCAGGTGGTAGACTACTACAAGGAGGCCTGCCGGGCTCTGGAGAATTCAGAAACGGCCTCTCTCCTGGGGAAGATCCAGAAGGACTGGAAGAAGCTGGTGCAGATGAAGATTTATTACTTTGCTGCCATCGCTCATGTAAGTGAATTCTATGCAGCTTTCTCAGACTCCTGTCTGAGAAAGCTGCATATCGCTCATTGTGGGGCTCCTCTTATTTAAAGGGGACCTTTCACCTCTTTAACTTCATTTCTTCACATTTCTCCCCCTGTCATATTAAAAAAACACGCATAGTTTACAAGCTGGAGGGGGGGGTGTGGGGTGTATATGTATGAGTGTGACATGTACTGATGATGCGTCTGTGATGATTGTGTTTTTGGGGGAATCTGATTTGGAATCCTCTGCAGTTCTGTGTGAATGTTCTTCTCTATAGAACGGCGGAATATTCCGAGAACCTTTCAGATCTTCATGTGAAATTTTGTGATTTCTTCTAAATGATTCCGGTATTGATCTTCTGTGTTTCCAATCTCTCCGCAGCTGCACATGGGGAAGCAGGCAGAGGAGCAGCAGAAGTATGGAGAGCAGGTGTGTCCTCATGTCCTCCCTCTGTCCCGCCTGTCCAGTCATTCTCTGAACCAGAAAAAAACGCCCGATTGAAGCTGACTACATAAACTACATACTGGTTGGGTGTGCCCAGCCCGCCGCCGGCTGACGTGAGGAAAGCGATAGTGACTGGCCAGTAAAATCCATCACGGCCCATCAACTTTCCCTGGAGCGGGGTCAGTCAGGAATAGCTGGTCATGGCGAGGCCTACAAACGTTTCCGATTTTATCATCATCATTGGATTCTTCAATCGTGATGGCTCATCACACGTGGCCATTGCCTAGAGTGGTCTGCATGCAAATGCACCAGGATAAGGGGGGGTTATGGAGAAAAGGGGTGGGGGGGCTATGGGGACTATGTGGGGGTTATGGAGACAAGGAGGGCTTATGAGGAGGACATATGGAGAGGTTGTGGAGACCAGGAGGGCTTATTGAAATAAGAAGGGGTTATGAGGATGACATACGGAGGGTTTATGGAGATGAGATGGGGTTTTAAGGAGGGGTTATGTGGAGGAGGAGTTATGGAGATAAGGAGGGGTTATGGAAATGGGTTATGAGGAGGAGTTATAGATATGTGGAGGAAGGGTTATGGAGATGGGGTTTTAAGCAGGAGATATGGAGGGGTTATCTGGAGGAGGAGTTATGGAAATGGATTATGTGGAGGAGGAGGAGTTATGGAGATAAGGAGGGGTTATGGAAATGGGTTATGAGGAGGAGTTATAGAGATATGGAGGGGTTATGAGGGGGGGGGCAGGAGGAGTTTTGGAAATAAGGAGGGGTTATGGAAATGGGTTATGAGGAGGAGTTGTAGAGATATGGAGGGGTTATGAGGGGGGCAGGGGGAGTTGTAAAAAATAAGGAGGGGTTATTAGGAGGAGGAGTTATGGAGATGAGGAAAAGGGGTTGTGAGGATGCAGGGGGAGGATGAGGAGAGGTCTGTGTTCTGTGTAGTAATAAGAAAAGAGGCAGGCAGGGCTGACACCACATGCTTAGGAATTCGGAGCTGTGGTGTCATGCCAAAGAGGAAGTTTGGAGCACACGACATTTCTGGCACATCAGCAGTTATTCTTTTGTACTTGCAATGTGTTGAAAGGGAGCCTCCATAAGGAAAGGTGGACGTATCGCACAGATGACATTTTGCCTTCACTTACACTTCGAAACACTACAAATACGAACACTAGCTGTTGGTTCTGCAGAAACCCAGTGAGATCCAGTTATCTATAGCTGCTTATAGTGAGCTGACAACTCTGTCTATGCTGTGCTATAAAGTGGTGTTGTCAGCCATTCTCCATTCTTCCTTGCTGAACTACAAAATACTCCCCCCTTGATTTTGTTAATGTTACTGAGACATACGGTTGATCTCCACTTGTATATTCTGTTATAAGTCCTCATAGCCCCCTGATGTGGTCACTGTGAAATCAGTCGCTGCTCCTCAGTTCCCAGGAGGCAGGCGCTGGCAGAATGGATCTCGTCCACGTCTCTAATGAGCACAATAGTAAAGAGGACCTGCCACATACTGATGACATCAATATTTTGCTAAAACTTTATTGTTCAGCACTTGTACACAGACGCTCTTCCTGCGACCTCCCACTGACACGTTTAACCTGGCAAGGGCTTAATCGGAGACCTCCAAGCTTTTGTCCAAAGTGAAATGTATAAGAGGGGAGATCCCAGGCAGGGCCTCTGTAAACATGTTCAGAACAATAAAGTTTTATCATGTACACAGAAACCTTACCCGGGACCTCCACTCCTTCTTCACGTTTCACCTGGAGAAGGCTTAGATCTGTATGATTAGGCCCTTTCCAGGTGAAATGCGTCAGCTAGAAGGTCAAAGGTGGCGCTTTGGTGTTCATGAACAATAAAGTTTTAACAAAATGCTGGTGTCATTGGGTCATTTCCGACCAATCAAGAAGCAGGGCAGCGAGTCATTACACGCTGCCCGGCTTCCCGATTGGCTGGGAAGCTGGCTCCATGCTCTCTCTCTCTCACGGCCGGTCCTTTGTTTCTGTTTGGTGTGTTTGATTCATTTCATTTCTCTTTGCAGGTCGCCTATCTGCAGAGCTCTCTAGACAAGCTCGGTGAAGCTGTTAAGCTGTCCAAGGTAAGAGTTGCTCCGTGTCATACAACCGTCACGTTTCACCTTGTGTGTGTTCCGGTATTCCCCGGACTGTACGTGTCGTCTATGAATCTCACACCGTCTACCTATCCGCACCTACTTACCGCCATCTCCCTCTTCTTCAGGGTCAGCCGTCCACCGTCCAGGAAGCTCTGCGCTTCACCATGGATGTCATTGGAGGAAAGTAAGTTCAGAGTCCAAACCGACGGTTTCCTTCTGTAATAATTAGGGATGTACCGATACTGGTATCGGTATCGATGCCGATTATTTGCTCCGATGCCTAGCCCGACACTTCTGGTATCGGGAAGCCGGGCAGCGCATCAATTCTCGCTGCCCGGCTTCCTGATTGGGCGGGAAGCCGGCTCCATGCTCCCTCGTCACTCGTGAGAGAGAGAGCATGGAGCCGGCTTCCCAGCCAATCGGGAAGCCGGGCAGCGTGTAATGACTCGCTGCTCTGCTTCTTGATTGGTCGGAAAGCTGGCAAATCAGGAGGCCAGGTGCCGTGTAATGACGCAGAAATGGTTGTGAGGATATGTCACCAGCACTCCAGAATGGCAAACGAGTCACTTTTAGTGAATCTCCATTTTTTAAGAGGTCACTCAAAGTAGGGTCAAGCGCTTTCGGGCCCGCGCAGGGTCCCCTTCATCAGGCTAAAAGTGAACAAAAAAGACCCCTAACCCTTTTTTGTTCACTTTAAGCCTGATGAAGGGGACCCTGCGTGGCCCCCGAAAGCGCTTGACCCTACTTTGAGTGACCTCTTAAAAAATGGAGATTCACTAAAAGTGACTTGTTTGCCATTCTGGAGTGCTGGTGACATATCCTCGCAACCGTTTCTGCTTTAATGCGGCGCCATCCGCAGTCATTGCGAGCACCCACTTCTACCGATGGGAATTCCCGTAAGGTGTGCTACAGGACCTTGGACAGTTGTACCGTGTAATGACGCGGAGCACAGCTCTCTGGCCCGGAAGCCGGCGTCACGCTTTCTCGTCACCTATTGACCAGAGACCTATTGTCATTACACGCCGCCTGGCTTCCTGAATGGGACTTCCGGTACTCGGTTATTCCGAATCGGCGAGTACCAAAAAAAAATATCGGTACTCGATACCGAAATACCAGTTTCGGTGCATCCCTCGTAATAATTCACTCATCTGCGTTTAACAATTTCCCGCCGATGCTCATTATTCATCGCGATGTCTCTATCAAAACAGGTTCAACTCCTCCAAGAAAGACAATGATTTCATTTACCACGAATCTGTCCCGGCTCTGGATACTCTGCAGGCTGTGAAAGGTGCGTGACTAGAGATCGATGGAATCCATTATGACAATAATTATTATTGGTCCGTTCCACCTCACAGGGATATTCTAGATGAAGATGGGAACTGGCAGAATGAGGTGTCTTGTCTTTCCCCCAGCAGTAAGATCTCCCCGCCCACAGTTCCTGATTTTGTTCCCTCCCACCTTTTGCGTGTCCCAGCTTCTCCTACTACATCCTCCATGTTATGTAATGAATACAAAATCCAGCAGGTATGGCACGAGCCCCTCATAATGGGCACAGCGGGTGTACAGACCCGGGAACTCAGCACAGGGATGGTGGGAGCCCCTCATAATGGGCACAGCGGGTGTACAGACCCGGGAACTCAGCACAGGGATGGTGGGGGCCCCTCATAATGGGCACAGCGGGTGTACAGACCCGGGAACTCAGCACAGGGATGGTGGGGGCCCCTCATAATGGGCACAGCGGGTGTACAGACCCGGGAACTCGGTACAAAGATCTCACTAGTGGATTCCCCAAGAGAGAAAAGCAACTTTCCGCATCCACTAGACACTAGAATAAAGGGTTTAGGATGGAATTACTCTTTTTGTAAGAAAAATTCCAGTCTCACTTTGTTTTCTGCTCCCCCAGGTGCCCCGCTAGTAAAGGCTCTTCCTGTGAATCCCACCGACCCCACTGTGACTGGGCCTGATATCTTCTCCAAGCTGGTTCCGATGGCGGCACATGAGGCTTCCTCTCTGTACAGGTGAGTAAAGCTCCAGGGCTGACTCCATACATTCCAGGCAACGGGATGCAATATATCGGGATGAGGTCCAACCAACAATCATCTATCTCATTCCTAGAAGGGAGGTTCCCTGTTCTCATTCACATCCATGAAACAACTGCTAGCGAACTATACAAGCTCGTCTCCCAACAAATGGCACGCTCGTTGGCTCCTCTCGTAGCACTGCGTTTATGGTGGTGACCAGTAAAAGTTTAGTTTTGGTCTCATCATTCCAATGGTTTTGTTCCAGAAGCTTCACGGTGCCCAAACGGCATCCAGAGAAGCTTCAAAATTTCCGGAGCAAAATCGTTTGGCGTGATGGGACCAAAAACTGAACTTTATGGTTCCGTGGTCCAGAACATAGACCAAGAGAACCTTTCAGCGGTTGTAGCAGAACTGTGGGGGGCCATCGCAATCTCCTGAACTCTTCACGATTGAGCCGCTTCGGGGGAGTTCTCGATCATGCTGGACAGCCGAAGCTTTGGTCTCTTATCATGGGAGGCCCTTCTACAGGAGAAGTCGGGGTGATGGCATTTCCAGGTTCAGAGCTGGCAAACCCCCATCCGCTCTGGCCAGGGAAGGAGCCGATTGATCTGTCTGTGCTCATTTTACATGTGTAGTCTGCAAGATACACAGAGGGGGGACATTTTCTAAGACGGGAGCAGACAGAACCTGAGCAGGGCAACCAATCGGCTTCTATCTTCAGCTACTTAAAGTGATATTAAAGGCGAATTTTCTTTTTAATTTCTCCTTCTTTGGTGGAGGCTGTTGCTTTTTTTTTTTCTTTTAAAAGTTTTTAATTCGTTTTCTAGTGGGTCCCGGCAGCGCTCTTCCCCCCCTGCACGGGTGTCACCATCATTCTAATGGAGGCACCCGTGGCTGTGTGCGTCCATAGACACACACAGCCCTGTGGCAGGCCACGCCCCTTCCCTCTTTGATTGATGGCAGAAGGAGCCTATGGCTCCTCTGCCATCAATATCCTCAACCTGGAAGTTCGGGTAACGGAGGATCGCTTCGGGACCAGCGCAGCTGACAGGTAAGTCTGGGGGATACTGGGGTAGAAAGAAGGTGCTGGGCCGTTTTTACCCCAATGCAGAGAACGCATTAAGGTTAAAAAAAACGCCCAGACCTTAATATTGCTGTAAGCTTTAAAAAAGAAAGTCAGGAGCTGATTGGTTGCCATGCTCAGATGCTTCAGCTTGTCTGCTCCAGTATTAGAAAATTCCCCTTACATCTCGTCATGAAGCAACGTTTCGGGGCCACTCAGGGTCACTTCATCAGGCAAGACGAAGTCCTGATGAAGGGACCCTGAGTGGCCCATAAACGTTGCTTTATGACGAGATGTGCCAAAATGTTGCAGATTTTACCTTGGTGTGCCGGAGATATAGTATACTGTCTGCAAAACATGGCTCAACGAAAATCAAATTAAAAGATCACCCAAGCCGGGAGGAAAATGATTGGCTGAAGAGTAGGCGCGTCCTGCAACCTCCCGAATACAACAGCCTGCAGTGGAGATTCCTCCGTCCGCTCACCTTCTCTCGTTCAGGCTCTAGAGCGGCGTAGGGCTTCCTTTATTCTGTCTGCTTTGTAATCTTTTACTGTTACTTTGTAACTTTTTTTATACCATCACCATGAGCAGAGGTTGTGGTTTGTCCTGTCTGACTTTGTCATCATCTCTTCCAGTGAGGAGAAGGCCAAGCTGCTGAGGGACCTCATGTCCAAAATAGAAGCCAAGAATGAAGTTCTGGAGTAAGTTGACTTTATTACCTCCTCTGCTAAGGTGACCTGAACGCCGGGGGTGGTTAGAAGGGGGGGCTCCTTTTTATTTTGTTACTCTGAACTTTATGCCTGAGACAAATGCGGCGCTTTTGTCACCATTGTCTTTCCTCTTCCTGCCCCGCAGTCAGTTCACAGACTCTCTGCAGCTCGATCCGGACACGTTGGACAATTTGGACCTGTACAGCCACATCCCTCCGGCCCTGATGGAGAAGTGCGCGGCGCTGAGCGTGCGGCCGGACACGGTGAAGAGTTTGGTACAGTCCATGCAAGGTAAGTGCCAGCTGGGTGTGTAGAGGGATTCTCCGTATTCTACTGTGATGAAGAGGTCAGCGACCCTTTCCACATTGTGGCGCAGCCGGCGGGCCAGTGACCAATAGTGCGCCAGTCACATCATTTAATATCAATTTCTGCACAAGTGCAATGGTTATCGCAAATTAAATCACCCCAATTCCAGCACCTCCACACCTCAGATCTCCCCAATTCCTGCACCTCCACACCTCAGATCTCCCCAATTCCTGCACCTTCACACCTCAGATCACCCCAATTCCTGCACCTTCACCCCTCAGATCTCCCCAATTCCTGCACCTTCACCCCTTAGATCACCCCAATTCCTGCACCTTCTCTCGCTTCCCCTTTTTTGCTCCCACCCTTCGATGGCCTCTCAGCTGCTTCCTGGTTGCGATAGTGACACCGAGCGTCAAAATATCTTTCTAGATAGGGAGTCGTTTTTCCCCAGCTGTCCTCTTGTCTGTGTTGAGATGCAAATCATTGCTCACACGGGATATTCTATGTGGGTTTCCTCTCCTGACCCTTTACGATGACGTATATGTGTGCCGTGTCATTCCAGTGTTGTCTGGCGTGTACACCGATGTGGAGGCCTCCCTGAAGGACATCAAGGACCTGCTAGATGAAGATAAGAAGCAGGAGAAGGTGATGCAGGAGGAGGTTGGGAAACAGGCGGCGACAGCGGCTCCCTCCTCGCCTTCCATTACGGAAGTGAACAGAGAGTGGACCAAGTACATGGAGGTGCACGGGAAGGCCAGCTTCACCAACACCGAGCTGCACAAAGCTATGAACCAGCACATTAGTAACCTGAGGCTTCTCAGTGGGCCCCTGGACCAGCTCCAACAGGCACTTCCTGTTCCCAACCTGACAGAGGGTGAGTATAGCTCTACAACAGACTGTACATATTTACATTTCGGCAGTCTCTCCTGATGTGTTCTATCCCTCAGGACCTCCTTCCTCCTGCTGGAGACCCTCTAGAGATCTATATAGAGGAACCAGGACCTCTTTCCTCCCGCTGGGGACCCCTCTATTGATAATAAAGGTCTATATAGAGGAACCAGGACCTCCTTCTTCCGGCTGGGGACCCCTCTATTGATAATAAAGGTCTATATAGAGGAACTAGGACCTCCTTCCTCCTGCAGGGGACCCCTCTAGTGATCTATATAGAGGAATCAGGACCTCCTTCCTCCTGCTGGGGACCCCTCTATTGATAATAAAGGTCTATATAGAGGAACCAGGACCTCCTTCCTCCAGCTGGGGACCCCTCTATTGATAATAAAGGTCTATATAGAGGGATCAGGCCCTCCTTCCTCCTGCTGGAGATCCCTCTAGTGATAATAAAGGTCTATATAGAGGGATCAGGCCCTCCTTCCTCCTGCTGGAGATCCCTCTAGTGATAATAAAGGTCTATATAGAGGGATCAGGACCTCCTTCCTCCTGCTGGGGATCCCTCTAGAGTAAACTGTTGTCTGCTGTGTATGTCTATGGAGCTGCCTTGCAGTCAGGGAGCACCTGTGCATTAGGCATTCACTGTCCGGGTGGTGCCTTACCCTGCTGCTTGTATGCTTTGTGATATTCAGGGCTATCCTAGCTGTGGAGTCTGGTTGTCAGAGCAGAGGGGAAGCCGCATCCCAGCAGGAGAGGGGCTATGGCTCGGCATGCAGTGGGCCGGAGCCTGGCAGTGAACCACTGACCTACAATAGGGTATAACTAGTGATAGTTAAAGTAGATGAGACACTTCTCTCCTCCATATTAAGAATTTTGGGGTCTCTGCCATATAGCGACATGGAATAGAGGAGATGACCTGTGGTTGGTGTACCAGTCGGTGACCACATGCTCTATTTTCAGATGACAAGTCCGTCCTGCAGAACCTGAAACGGATCCTGCACAAGGTGCGGGAGATGAGAGATCAGCGTCTGTCTCTGGAGCAGCAGCTGAGGGACACCATACAGAAAGACGACATCACCACCTCTCTGGTCACCGCCGACCGCTCCGAGATGAAGGTAAGAGCTGTCTGTATGCCCGGCATCAGCCAGACACACTTGTTCTAATTCATGAAGTTGACAGCCTGCTCCCTATTGACAACACAGACAGTTTTTATTTTTCAGATACAGGTCTGGGCTCATCAGATCCCGGTTCAATACTGTTCACCAGTCTCCTGTCACAAAGATCCATGTCCGTAGAGCTCAGTCATTAAAGTGACATTAAACCCTCAGATTTTTTAACATAAACCAATACTGTAATGTGCGCCTTACTGTAATCCATGGTAGTTTCCCTTCTCTTTGCTGCTCTTCCTTTTAGATCCTCATGTCTTCTCATGCTGGGGGAGAACTTCCCTTTGCAGCTGAGGGCCTCTTCCTGTAGTGCTGGCTCAGGTTGGGAACCTGCACACAGACACCGTGTATCCATTCCAGAGACAAGGCAGTCTGCTGCAAAGGGAAGTTCTGCCCAGCATGAGAACAGATACAGATTTAAAAGGAAGAGCAGCAAAGAAGGGAAGCAACCATGGATTACAGTATGGCGCACATTACAGTATTTATGTTAAAATCTGAGGGTTTAATGTCACTTTAAAGTAGAACTATAGGCAAAGATTAGAAATTGATACGTAGAACATTAAAAAAAGTTACCCCATCTGTATTTTTCCCTTTATTCCCCCTGCAATGGATCCCGCCAGAGCTCTCTTTCTGTTAGACCAGGGATGTCCAAACTGCGGCCCTCCAGCTGCGGTGGAACTACGAATCCCATGAGGCTTTGCAAGATTCTCAGTCGCAGACATGACTCCCGGAGAGAGATGCTTCATGGGATTTGTAGTTTCACCACAGCTGGAGGGCCGCAGTTTGGACGTCCCTGTGTTGGAGGATGACATTGCTTGGCTGCCTCCTTGAGAAATGCCAAATGTCCCGGATTTGACAGTACGGTCCAGAATCTTGACCCTCTGTGCCGCCGGATATTGTGTGTGGGCCATGTCCCAAGCTCTGCTGTGTCCGCAGGACATTCTGATGTTGGGGAGGAGACTTGAATAATACTGTAGCAGCTGAGGGCCTCTTCCTGTAGTGCTGGCTCAGGTTGGGAACCTGCACACAGACACCGTGTATCCATTCCAGAGACAAGGCAGTCTGCTGCAAAGGGAAGTTCTGCCCAGCATGAGAACAGATACAGATTTAAAAGGAAGAGCAGCAAAGAAGGGAAGCAACCATGGATTACAGTATGGCGCACATTACAGTATTTATGTTAAAATCTGAGGGTTTAATGTCACTTTAAAGTAGAACTATAGGCAAAGATTAGAAATTGATACGTAGAACATTAAAAAAAGTTACCCCATCTGTATTTTTCCCTTTATTCCCCCTGCAATGGATCCCGCCAGAGCTCTCTTTCTGTTAGACCAGGGATGTCCAAACTGCGGCCCTCCAGCTGCGGTGGAACTACGAATCCCATGAGGCTTTGCAAGATTCTCAGTCGCAGACATGACTCCCGGAGAGAGATGCTTCATGGGATTTGTAGTTTCACCACAGCTGGAGGGCCGCAGTTTGGACGTCCCTGTGTTGGAGGATGACATTGCTTGGCTGCCTCCTTGAGAAATGCCAAATGTCCCGGATTTGACAGTACGGTCCAGAATCTTGACCCTCTGTGCCGCCGGATATTGTGTGTGGGCCATGTCCCAAGCTCTGCTGTGTCCGCAGGACATTCTGATGTTGGGGAGGAGACTTGAATAATACTGTTGTCAAGCTATTTGCATGTCCCATCAGCCGTAAGCTCCATGCACATTGCTCCATGCAAGCCGGATCTGTGCACGGCATTCCAAGCTCCCAGGTGATACGGCTGGTAACGGCCAATGGTAAATACTAGAGATGCACCGATGCTGCTATCGGTGCCGATACCCAGTATCTGGGCGGAACTTCCGGTCTGAGGGAGATTTCCTCTGACTGGCAGTGCCGTGAGGGAACATGGAGTCGGGAAGCCGGCTCCATGCTGATTGGCAGGGAAGCCGGCTCCATGCTGATTGGCAGGGAAGCCGGCTCCATGCTGATTGGCAGGGAAGCCGGCTCCATGCTGATTGGCAGGGAAGCCGGCTCCATGCTGAATCAGCATTGAGCCGGCCAAACGGATCTGATAATATGGTGACGCAACCTCCACCCCGCAGACACCTCATTACCCTCACATCACACTCGTATCGATCCTCTGCAGCAGTCATCACCGTACCACAGATGTCCCTCGGCCAGGCACCGCTCTCCAATCCGCTTTACCGCCACCTGACTCCGGTGTGTGTACAGCACCAGCACCGCCTGCTTGATCGTGATAGAGGATTTCTCGTGAGAGCGCTGGGCAGGCTGCGCAGTAGCGGCTGAGGGCTGATCACGCAGGCAGTGCAGGCGCTGTACACACACACCAGAGTCAGGCAGCGTTTGTACATCTCGTGAGTCTGAGACGTGGCCAGATCCGGGAGAGGTAAAGCGGCTTGGAGAGCGGTGTCTGCCCAGCTGGCTGAGGGACATCTGTGGTACGGTAATGACTGCCCCTGGGTGTGAGGAGAATGGGGCGTCTGCAGGGTGGAGGTTGTGTCACCGTATTATCAGATCTGTTTGGCCGGCTCAATGCTGATTTGGGTGAGAAGCCGGCTTCCTGGCCAATCGGCATCGAGCCGGCCAAACGGCATGGAGTCGGCTTCCCGGGCAATCAAGAAGCCCGGCGGTGGGTAATGACATGCCACCTGGCTCCCTGATTGCCCAATTCTGTTCTGTCCTCGTAGCCCGGCACCGCTGATTTCTCTCCTGCCTCTCCCGCGGGGAGACCCTGACCCCGAAACGTCACACTAAGTGTACTATACCTTTTTGCATGTACGTCAATAAATAGACGTGTTCTATCTACTGTTGGAGTGCCGGTGTCCATATTCTTCTGCATCGCTGTGACCGGTGGCCATCTGTCGACTACCGAGCACCCATGTTACTTCGATGGAGGAGCGGTCAGGGGTGCAATGGGTACATGGACTTAACCCCTGGGTGTGAGGAGAATGGGGCGTCTGCAGGGTGGAGGTTGTGTCACCGTATTATCAGATCTGTTTGGCCGGCTCAATGCTGATTTGGGTGAGAAGCCGGCTTCCTGGCCAATCGGCATCGAGCCGGCCAAACGGCATGGAGTCGGCTTCCCGGGCAATTAAGAAGCCCGGCGGTGGGTAATGACATGCCACCTGGCTCCCTGATTGCCCAGGAAGCCGACTCCATGATAGCGGTATCGGTACTCTGTAGTGTTCTATCTACTGTTGGAGTGCCGGTGTCCATATTCTTCTGCATCGCTGTGACCGGTGGCCATCTGTCGACTACCGAGCACCCATGTTACTTCGATGGAGGAGCGGTCAGGGGTGCAATGGGTACATGGACTTATTTCCATTTATGCCTCCGATAGAATGATTGTAAAGGATCCTCTCCATTGTATGTGTGTGTTCACCATCGGGGGTCCCTCTCTCGTCCTTCAGGTGGAATCACACCGTGCAGACACTGATCTCCTCCTACGAGGCCTATGAGGACCTGATGAAGAAGTCTCAGGAAGGGAAGGACTTTTATGCCGATTTGGAAAACAAAGTCGCCAAGCTTCTGGAAAAAACAAGAGCGGCATTCGAGGGATCGCAATCCAGCCGGCAGGCAAACCTGGAACGGTATGTGTCAGTTCTCCTGTATATTGCAGTGCATGTTAAGTCAATGAGGAAGAGCTACAGAGTATCCCAAATACAGCTTTGTGACCAGAAGACGTAGTCAAGCATGAAAGTTCAATGAGTTGTAACGGGGTTGAGATGGACACCAGTGCCCCATGTGTGTAAGGGTGTGTGACCCCTGAACCTGAATACGTGACGCACATAGAGAGGGCAAAGGTATGCGGGATTCTAAAAACAAATGGAACAGTCAATTAACTAGGAGGGGGAAGGGTTCATATACTTGGGCCTGAAAGACATTTTAGGAGAGGAAGTTGAGGCCACGGGGGTTTGCATGTGTAAGGGGCTATTAGTAGCAGGAGTAGGGAAGAGGTGAAGGATCAATAGGTTAGGTGGGTGATGTTGATGCAGCAGTCCTAGGGATAGGGGTACAGGGGGGGCCTGAAAGACATTTTAGGAGAGGAAGTTGGGGCCACGGGGGTTTGCATGTGTAAGGGTATTATTAGCAACAGTAGGGAAGAGGTGAAGGATCAATAGGTTAAGTGGGTGAGGTTGATGCAGCAGTCCCAGGGATAGGGGTACAGGGAGGACTGAGCAGGGAATCCCACATTATATTAAAGAGAACCTGTCAGAATGGTTTTACCCTTCACAGCTGAGGCTCCTATGCTCAGAAGACAGCCATTGCTTGACTCCTAAAAGCAATGCTTGCTCCAGGGCAGAGAGTATACCCTGCAGCACCACGGAACTTGTATTCATTGTGGGAGATCAGAAGCCAGCAGCAGCCTTCACGGGTGGGCGCTAATACAGAAGCGGCCATAGCTGACTTATTTTCCTAGGTCTTGCTTCAGGGTTGTCACTGATTTGGAACTAGCATGCCAGCAGTACAGTTTCATAACGTTTCAGGAGATGCTGGACAGGAAATTCACCTTTTTACTGTATGCGAGTGTTATGTAATGTGTTGTAGCCAGTAGGGTTAGGGAAACCCTAACAGTGTGAGTCTTTCCCATAGATGCCAACTGTCCCGGATTTGCCAGTATGGTCCAGAATCTTGGCCCTCCGGACATTGTGTCATGGGTCATGTCCCCAGATGAATGCATCAACCTTATTTCAGTTGCTGAGCATGTGCAATAACTCAATAAGGAGTTAATTGCAGGGATCAAGGCTAACAATGGGAATATTTACACTTTTTAGGGGCTTCGGGGAAATATTAGGGGGTCTAAACAGAGTCCTGATATTTCCCTTTTTAAAAGAGATTTAGGATGCACAGAGCCCTCGGAGACGCGCCGAGCCCTCGATCTCTTTTTCTGTATCCCCTGTGATCGATGAACAGAAATCCTCTGAGTGTTCCTGTTCATTGATAACATGAGAACATAGTAGTGTTACTATAATTACAACTATGAATGAACAGGAAGTGATGTAGAGGGGATGTAGATCACTTCCCGTTCATAATTGAGGATACAGTAACCATGCCATGTCCTCAATTATCTACAAACACTCAGCGATCACTGGTCACATGACTGCTTGTACCCGCTCTCCTCTCTGACACACTGTCACAGGAGGCTGAGCAAGCGGTGTAGAGAGGAAAGCCCAGCCTCCTGTGACGGCGCCGTCTCCGCCCACACAACGCTGCCGGACTGTGATAGGCGGCTGGGCGGTGTGGGAGGAGAGACGCCGGCCGCTCACATCGCTCTCCTCCCGCAGCGCTCGGCCGGCTGTCACAGTTTCTCTCCTCCCCGCTGGGACACAGAGCAGCGTCCAGCGGGGAGGAAAGAAACCTGGGACGCGCCGATGTATCTGCAGGATATGTATCTGTCCGATTTATATCGGTGCATCCCTAGTTGGTACGTATGCTTTCCTTTTAGTCTGCAAAGTTTGGGCAAGGCTGTGATCTCACAGGAAGTGTGTGTGGTATACACCACGGAGCACACTGGCATCATATTTGTAGGCACTTATTGAAAGTCCTTCACAAGTTGAGGATGCCGGCACCAATTTGGCTATCGGGGCAGCCATATGCAGAAGATGGAGGACACTGACTGCCATTTATTGGGTAGGCTTTGATCTTTCTGTCAGTTTACCAAAATAATTTAAATGATGATTCAAGTGCACTTTAAGACGAGGATCTCTCTTCCTTGTTCCTTCATTAGTATTTCTCTTGTGTTTTCAGAGAGATGAAAAAGAAGCCGCCTCCCCGTCCAACTGCCCCTAAACCAGCGCTTGAGAAGAAGGCTTCTGACATGGACCTTGACAACATTCCTGCAGCTGATCTGGCCGACCTACAGAGATTTTCATCCCTCTTCCTTTCTGATCTCCCAGAAGAGCTGAGGAGTTTACCGCCTGAGGCCCTACTCGCCCACCTGGACCGGATGACCGCCGATAACTTTGGTGCCTTTCCTGCATATGGTGGAATGAGGCCACGCATGGCAAACCCTTTTCGGGGTGTTAGAACATCTACCGCTCCCATGCCTGACCAGCATGCAGTGCCTTTTAACCAGGTCCCTTTTAACGCCCATGGTATGCCATACGCCCCAGGAGCTATGCCCGGCCACCCCTACCCACCCGTCTCTTACGGCAATATGCCCCCCGTGACTTCGGGAACTGCTGTTCCTTCACAGTTCATGCATCCTTCTCAAAATCAGGCCATGGCACACGGTCAAATACCAACCTCTTCTCCTTCGAGGGTGCCAACGGCGTATCCAGCAGGTGGGCCTGTGCAACCAAACCCAGCATCGTCCCCTATGGCGCCAGGGTACCGGCCTGCAGCTGTGGCACCGCAGAGAACTTCCCCGCAGCATATGCCAACTCCTGTCTCTCAGTTTCAGCCAAATGCTGCCGCAATGTTTGGTTCGCACGTTCCTTCTGCGGCCTTCACCCAGAGTGCAGCTGGTCAGCCTCATGATTCCAGCCATCGGTTCTCTAACCAGATGCTGCCAAACAATATGCAGCCTCCAATGACGCATGCAATCCGGACAGCAACAACTACAGTGGACAGCATTCAGGGGCCAATATCGAGCTATGCAGCCCCCCGGTTACCGGGACCAGTCCCAGTTGGAGGAGCTCCACAACACCCGCCCTTGAGTCACCCTCAGGGTGGTTACATTGGAGCCCCCGCTCCTGGCCAGACCACTCCTTTTCCATACCCGCAAAGTGGAGTTCAGAATTATGTTCAGCCTCCCCCACCACATTTATCTCATGCCCAGATGTTTCCCATTCCTGGTCAGACACAACAAAGACTGGACATGCAGGTCAGGCCACAGCCCCTACAACCACAGTATGGGGCCCCTGCCCAGCCTCAGTTTGCGCCTCAGATGAGGGCCCCTGTCCACCACCAACAGCAGCCTACTGCTTTTCAACAGCAAGGACTGCCTCTCAGTACCCCAATGACTCCTCAGCAACAATTTCAGCAGTATCCAATGCAGCCTCCGCATGCCGCTATGCAGCCTCCTCACTCTGCCGCGCCGCCGCCAACTTCCACCATGCATCCCGGACATTCTACTGTACCACCACACGGTTCTGCTTTGCAGCCTCCTCACTCTGCAGTGCAACCGATGCACCCTGGCGTTCAACTCCCTCCTCATTTGGTGGGGCAGCGTTTTCCTCTTGCGCAGCAGGATAAGCCTCCTCAGCCTCCACTTCATACATCGTTCCCTGGCGCTCTTCCGAGAGCTTCTGCCCAACCGCTACAGCCTGTGCCTCTACCTTTGAGCCAGTCCACATCTCATATCCTCCCACATGCCATTCCAGCAGCTCAACCTCTACCTCCTGGGTCAGCCTCCCAGATTGCACCATCTATGCCCTTTGCTGCCCCTGTTAGTGGAGTTGTAAATTCAGTACACTCGGGTCCTCAAATGCCAATTGGGGCCCCTCAGGGTGCATCCCTCCCTCACCACATACAGCCTGCCAGCAGCCCTGCGATCAGCCATGTTCCAGGTGCTGCTATTGTTTCAGGGGCAGCAGGTGTTCCGTCTCCGGCACCCTCTCCGCAGCCATCCCTGGTCGTCCAGCCTCCGGCAGTCCTTCCCTCGGTCGTGTCTACCACCGCAGCTATGCCTCAGAGACCTCCCCCTTCACTGACTCCTGGAACAACTCCTTTAAGCCAGGGCTCTACGGAACCCGTATTTCAGAGACAGAATTCCACGACCGATGACCTCCTATCCTCTAGTCCCGAAAGCCAACATGGAGGTTCCAAGACAACGGTAGGACAGCCCTTGCTGCAGCCGACCAAGGCCGATGCTAAAGACGGACAGAAACCCAAAGGCATTCAGCTGATCGAGAACGACCCGTACGAGAAACCGGAGCACGTGATGAGGCTGCTGTCCGAACTCGATCGCTTCCGGGTTGCGGTGAGCTCTCTCGAGAAGCCGGTGCCCGGTGCTGCGACTCGGCTCGACTCGATGTGGAAGGAGTTCCAGGACGCCCAGGAAAAGGAGGCCAGGACCCTCTCCATCGCCATCGCTCGCTGCTATACTATGAAGAACAGGCACCAGGACATCATGCCCTACGACAAGAACCGTATAGTCCTGCAGTCGGGGAAAGACGACTACATCAATGCCAGCAAGATTGAAGACCTGTCTTCTTATTGTCCAACCATCATCGCCACCCAGGCCCCGCTCCTGGGGACCGTCTCCGACTTCTGGCTGATGACTTACGAGCAAAAGGTGTCGCTGATTGTGATGCTGGTGTCCGACCTGGAGATAGAAAAGGTTAGTACGGGTGGGATGACTACGCTGCACCTCGGGGGTTTATTAAAGGAGAACTATGGGGTCAAGGCTTTCCCCCATAGTTCTCATTAGGGTAACGGGAGGACACAAACTAGCATCCTCCCGTCACCCTAAGCTCAGTATATAGGGAGCTACAGCTCGCGGTATACTGAGACGCCGCAGCCGGAGCGGATCCCGACATCGATGTCCAGATCCGCCCAGCTGCGTAAGGGACAGCTGGCTCTGCCTATCTCGAGGCAGAGCCAGCTGTACCCGCCCCCTCCGATCCGCCAGTCAGCGCTGGAGGATCAGAGCCGGGAGGGGGGAATCCAGCCCTTCCCCTGTCACGGCAGAGAGCCGTGACAGGATCGAGAGGCGAGCGAACGCCGGTATATGTTCGCTCACCTCCCGATCTACTGAGCCGACCTGTGACAGTCTCATTGTCACAGGTCGGCTAGAACTATGAGGAGGAGTGAAAGCACCCCCCCCTCTCATAGTTCTCCTTTAAAGCTGAACTCAGGGCAGATATAAAGTAATGCAACTACAAATCCTTTGTCAAATACGGTGTATGCATTTCATGTATGAGCTTAGCCTGGAGTTCAGCTTTAGGCGACGTGTAGAAGGGTTAGAACCTCTGTCAGGGTTTTCTTCCCATCTTCATCCCTCTTGCAGTAATTCCCCCTCATCTCCTGTCCCTATGACACAGTGACGCTGATTTGCTAAAATGTCACCCAATAAATTGTGTTAATAAAACCTTTCATTATCCAGCCATGTGCAGATTAAATAGGTTCACGTGGATTGTATGTCGCGGGATTGGATAATCAAAGTGAATATTCGCAAAATGTATCGCGTGGACATTTCCAAATCCTTTATGAATCAGCCCCAATTTGTGATGGGGACGTGAGAGGAAGTCTTCCGATCAGAGAGATACTAGGGGGGGTTCAATGACCAGACTTGATGTGCAGGGGTTGGGTCTTTGGCCAGGCCCGGTGTGCAGGGGTTGGGTCTTTGGCCAGGCCCGGTGTGCAGGGGTTGGGTCTTTGGCCAGGCCCGGTGTGCAGGGGTTGGGGCTTTGGCCGGGCCCAGTGTGCAGGGGTTGGGTCTTTGGCCGGGCCCGGTGTGCAGGGGTTGGATTCGTGGGCAGACCTAGTGTATGTGGCATTAGGATGGGGCAGGAGTCAGTGACCAGACCTGGTGTGTGGAGGGGTAGGATGAAGGGGGGGGCGAAAAGCAGACCTGGTGTGTAAGGGTTGGGCCTAAGGCCAGGACTGGTGTGTGTTTGGCAGGGGATGGGGGGCAGTGGCCAGACCTGGTGTGTGGCAGGGGGGCCACTGACCATACCTCTGCTCACTTCATTTCCTTCAAGCCATGGTAATGTAGTTGCCACGTCACGCTGCTCATTGTTGTCACTCTGTGTGGTCACGCTGCTCATTGTTGTCACTCTGTGTGGTCACGCTGCTCATTGTTGTCACTCTGTGTGTAAATTACAACTTGTCCTTCTCTCCACAGCAAAAAGTGGTGCGCTACTTCCCCACCGAGCGCGGCCAGCCCGTTCTTCATGGACAGATCACGCTGACTCTGACCAGCCATAAGGTGGCCGACACGCACGTGGAGAGAGTCATCTCGCTGCAGTACAAGGACCAGAGCCTGAAACGCTCCATCATTCACCTGCAGTTCACCTCCTGGCCGGAGCTGTACGTCCTCCACGTTATTTGTACAACGATGAAAAGCTGAACCCGGGCCGAGCCACGAAATACACAGAGAGATGACATATGGGGGGGATGTTTTATCTGCCAAAGGATTCGTAGTTCTGTCCATCAAGTCTTAAGATTTACACAGCTCTGCCACATAGCACAGGCCTGTCTGCCAGGGGAGGAGACCTGATTTTTCTCTGCTGCAGTTCAGGAACACTCGCAGGTCTTGTCCCTCCCCCAAGCCTGTAACTGGACAGTGAAGGAGAAGAAAGAGACTGATGAGCTCCTCTCTCTCTCTTCTCTCCTATCAGCAGGTTTCTTCTTAGCACACGAGTACTGTATGTCCATCCGAAGCTTTTATTCTCAGTTTCGGTTTGATTGAGGAAGGATTAGAACCCATTAGGTTTTTTTTACTTCTCTCTGGGGCTCCATTAGAGAGATTTCCCCTCACTTCCTGTCCTGCTGAATGCATTTTACCAGACAGGAAGTGGTGGGGACTCTCCAGCAGCAGCCCAAACCGAAATGAAAAAAGCTTTTCTTTAGTGGAGTAGGAAAAGGCTCGGTCAGGTTTTTATTTCTGCTTGTGTCTCAGTTTCAGATTTTCCCTCACTTCCTGTCCGGTAAAACAGACCGCAGGAAGTAAGAGGAGAGTTTAGTAGAAGCCAGTCAGGGTTCCAGTCCTTCTGTACGCTCTCAAAAACGACAAAAAATAGATTTCTCCTCCATTGATGGACAGAGGAAATCATTAACCTTTCGGGTTATACTTCCGCCTACAGGAGGATTGGACGCTGGCAAACAAAAGTATTGTTGGCTAGGATAACCCCTCCCACTACCGGCGTGCCTCCCTCTTTTGGATGAGGTTGACCTTTGGCATGGTTGGCGTCTCTCTTCTTGGTCCTCGGGTATCAGGCGTAGTCCTCCA